TTTCGCAGTCCGAGGGTTCGTTGTAGTCGGAGATGCCCTAACGCACCAAATCCCTGCTTCAGTTCTTTCGGACCTTGGAATTCCCCTGCTGAGCTTTGCCCACGAGCGTGGAAAGTCGAGGTTGCCGCTCAGGGGCACCTGATCCGTGCTTGCTCAGATTAGGGTGCAGGGTTTTGAGCCCAGACGGCAGAGTAAACTTAGGTGGCATGGTTCAGAATTCTCGCAGGTAGCCTCGTAGTTGAAGCTGTAATTGCAAGGCCGCGACGGTCGCGACGGCGGCGCTTGCCAGACCCAAATCACAGGCTGCAAAGTGCAAAGGAAGTGGACTGACAAAGAGGGGGGTTGGACTTCGGGCTATTACGAATGGCCTCTGAACCGAAGCCATTTATCTACGAAGCAGTTCGAAGCGCAGAACCAGAGCCTGGATGATCAGCCCGCTTGGCTGGAAGAACGAATCCTCTGGCCAAGGAGAGATGTCGGATAGGGCAAGGCCACCCCATGTGAACCTTCTGTGACACCCCAGAATCCCGACTCGATCACTGGTAGTCATGCGAGTTTTGAGCTTGAGAGTTAAGAGTTTAGGTCACCCGGGCTGCAGCGTCGGTCTCAGGGTACGACTCCAAAGAGAATGGGGTAGCCATCGTCAAGCATCACGAAGCCTGGTGTCGCTGCATGCTGCTCAATATGCATGGTGATGTGTGGGAATGGACACTAATACTGACGAGTAAAGAGTTCGTTTCACAAACCTCCGACTGGGCTGGACTAGGGGGTGGGGTCTAGTGGGGTCTAGGGGCTGTGTGTGTCTAGCTCGGAGGCTGCTGTCATACAGGCATTTGCTATGGGTGTGCACTTGTGGTTGTCGGCCTGCCCTGACAGTGTGACCTGCTCATTGAACCGGCTGGGTAGGTACTAACTACGTAGTCGTTGAACCAGTATCGCTGCAGACCTTGCCAGGCTTCTCCGAGTGTGAGTGTCAGAAAATGGGGTGGCCAGGCCGGTCCTTCCCCTGCTGCTCCTCGAGCGAAGGCGTGATGTCGGGGTTTTTTGGACTTGTTGCTGAGTTTCGAAGGGGTTTTGGTTCGGAGGGGTGCATTGGAAGGTTGCAGGGGAAGGGTCAAGGGTTTTTTTAATTTGGGTTTGTGTGTTCGAAGCTATTTATCGTTACATGTTTGCGGTGTATGAACTCCAAGTGTCAGCTTGTAACTCCGCGAATCCGGCTGAGCAGCTCGCATTGGTATTGGAGACCTTTCCCCAAATTCCTCAGAGTTTGCTCAGCCGAATCACGTGCAGTTCCTGGGCAGGCCTTAGATTGGAGAAAATCCGCGAACCTTAGACCGAAGACCGACTGATTTGAGCCAGTGTCTCCCTTCGGCCCCAGCATTGTGGATGTCCTGATGCTGCACCTGATGGTGTATGCTGCGCATGGAAGGTCCAGCCAAAGGCCAAAGCAGCCGAGGCGCTCAAGGACCGTTGTGACTCATCGCCTTTGCATTTCTTGGGGCGCAGAGGGCTGGTATGAGACGGGCTTCAAGCCAAAAAAGACAGCCGGCTTTGAGCAATCAACATGTGCTTGCGTCGTGGCTAGAGTTGCAAGATCTCGCCGACTGTGGCACACTGAACTGCTATGATTCAGCCGCCCTTGCATGCACCGGCCTCCCCAGGTCATTGGTTGAGTGCTCGGGTCCTCCTATGATGAGTATACTTACAATTATATTTTTAGTCTATGTAGGGTGTAGAGCGGAGGTGGTCCCTATTCGGAGTATCCCAGGTGTGCGACAGGTCTTGGGTCTCGCGAGCCTAGCCGCCTATGGCACATATTTTGCTAGAGACGGTATTCGCCTGCGCATACGAAACTTCTCAAGTCACCTAAGCAAGCAGGTCTCTCCTCCCAGGAGCTGTGTTGCACGGACCCAAACCTTAGCAGAGCTTTAGGGCCTCGCAGATGGATCCACCCACGGAGCCAAACGGAGCGGCCCCCCCCCCCCCGGGAACCCTTTTCACGAGGAGTCTCCCCGGAGCCTGGCTCTCGAGAGAACGTGTTCTCGGAAAGCTTCGGGGGCTTTGTTGGGTTTGATGCATTTAGGGTTCAGGATTGAAGTGAGGGCATGTGGATTTTAGCCTCGAGGGTCTGGGTTCGCAAGGCGCTTGAGGGTCGGAGGCTTGGGATGTTGAGAGAAAATCGTCAAAGCGCCGCTTGAGAGGTTGCTGTCCGAGGCTGCGGGGAGGTGCTAGGCAAGCTTTCACATGGATGGGTGACAGCCGCGCTCGACCATCCTTGCATCGTACCATTAAGTGACAGCAGGCTGCAGCTGCAAGCAGGACAGCGTCAATTTGAGCCTAGCTGTGAGGCTTGCAACTGGTGTTGTCCGCACAGTCCCCGTCATTCCGCTGGAGTGCATGACAGAGCACCGATGGGTATTGCTGAGCTAGACCTGTGATGGCCGAACTTTGAACACCCGAGCACCCCAGAAGTTGTTCCTCCGACCCTCCAACAACTCGACAGCACCCATGCCAATTGATTAGCCTGCTGTATAGATTCAGATAGCGGCTTGTACAGTAGGGGCAGTTTCAGGTGCAGCCCACCGCAAGCTCCTTTCAGCTCTGATGGACCTAGATGCGGATGCGATACGCAAGGCACGAAGTCCTGGGCTGGGGCTTGCAGATCTGTTGCGCAGCTGCGGTGACGGCGATGGTGGTTTTCATGGTGGAAGATTACTTAAACCCTTCTGCCGCTGGCTGTCAATGATTTTGGGGCTGATTCTCCACGGTTTGCTGGGTCTGGGCTGGAACCTCGTAGTTGAAGAAAGCAAAGCCACAGCCCAAAAGCCACACGCCTTGTACATATATATATATATATATGCTTGTTAGCAGCATAGAGTGGCATAAAACATGAACCCCTAAGTCCCTAAGCGCGCTTTCAAATCCTCGGCCTCGGAATTGAAAATCGTGGGCCCGTAATTCAGGCGGAATTGTTAATAGCCGGAGGTATTTTCTATGTAGATGGAGAGAGAGAGAGAGAGAGAGAGCCAAGAGTGTTATGCTGTAATAGACTCAATCAAAGCCCTACAAAAATCTCCGGGCCCGACATTAGACATTAAGCTTCCAGCCTTGTGCAAGCTTTGCGAGGCGATGCAGGAAGCTTCAGCCGGAGAGCTTGGATTTGGGGTTTAGGGTTTCGGGTTTAGGGTTTAGGGTTTAGGGTTTAGGGTGCAGGGTTTAGGGTGTAGGGTGTACGGTTTAGGTTAGGGTTTGGGAGTTTAGAGTTTAGGGTTCAGTGAAAAGTGTGTAGGGTTTAGGTTAGGGTTTGGGGCTTCAGGCTCTAGCTGAAATTGCCCCAAAGCTTGGGTTCAAGGCTTGAGCTCAAGACTTGCAGGGATAAAGTCGATCAAGGCTTAGAGCATGGCTCAGGGATTAGAGCTTGCCAGCCTAATTGTATATTTAAAGTCCATAAGAAGCACTGGGGCATAAAGCTGCAGGTATGAGAACGAATTGCAAACATGTCTCCGCACTGTAGGACCCTAGGAGGGCTCAGTCCCATGGAGTAGGCAAGTCATGATTTTGAGTCGCCTTGTAGACCTAACCCGCCTACAATCGCAACAGTCGCGCCCTAAGGGGCGACGGAGCGGATTTTGTTTAGATTTGTTCAAGGTGAGTGCCACTTCTACTTATGGCGGGAACACACCTCCCGTGCCCTGTCAACCCACTCCCACAGAAAGTGATTCGTTCGATCCCAACATTTTGACACTTCTGAGGTCGCCGGCGTGGATGAAGAGGTATCTTCACCTTGTATCGTTTGGGGTTTAGGGTTGTCTACAGCAGTCATGTTGATATCCTGGTGATTTGACCGCAAAGCTTGATGATTGTAACTCTTTCATCTTACGCCACAAGCCGCAAGCAGTCATGACTTGGGGCGAAGCAGCAATGCGTATTCGAGAAGTTGGGCACCGTCAAGAGCAACTTAAGGCGCATTAGACACCGGCAGACGAAAGACGTCTTTCGGACTTGCAGGACAGTAGTCTTGGTAATTGTGCACCAGGATAACATGTGCATATGAAGAGTGTGAAGTTGCTTCGCACATGCCCATGTTGCGTGCGTCCACATGCTGTGATCTGATCTGGCTTCACGATTGCTATATGGTGGATACGCCGTGAGCTTACATGCATTTTCAGAAGCGCCATCGAAGTCGCCGATTGGGTAGCCTTGCAGAGTTCGTCTCAGCTGAGCAGGTCGAGGCCTTCCCTAGCGCTTTACTGGCGCCCGCACGGTCCATACCCGCCCAAACCCTCATAAGAGCAATCGCCAGGGGCTGGCTGCAGTGCAAGTTGCTTTGCAAGAGCCGGGCCCCAAGTCCTTTGACAACTTCAGGGCTGATGGACATCATGTTGGGCATGTGGGATGGGATGGGGTCTACCGGGGCTCGTTGCTTAAGTAGTCTGGCATTTGAGGGTTTAGCTCATGCCTGCAAAGGACCTTTGCCTGGTGTTGGGCAAGGTTTCTAAAATCGCGAAGTCTGGTAAGTAGATTCCAACGAACACATCGTAAAACCTTGTCTGCTTTAGAAGACCCTTTGAGATCACCGAAAAAGGCCGCCCTGCCTATCTGACAAGGCTCCAAGCCCCTGGATCCATCGGCACCTTGGCAGACCGGCAAAAGGCTGGGTTTGAGGGTTGTAGGCTTGACGGGAGCGCTTAGGGCTTTAGGGTCAGGCAGTCGCAATCACGAACCCAAATTCTTTGGACGAACACATCTCGCAGATATTGCATTGCGTGGGCGCACGAGGCTCCAATTGCAACTGTTGTGTCGTCGTTTGTCCAAACTTAGAAGACTGGTGTCAGCCTAAAACATCCCGGTTCTCGACAGCTTTACCGGCTTTGCCAAGCCTAGGGCGCCCCAAGGCCCCAAGCTCTCAATTGCCACGCCCTTGAACCACGATGATCCAAAAACCCCGAAGCCACCACACGGAACTAACCTGGCTGTGCCGTGGTTAGGCCGCTGCCAAGATGGAGGTCGTGGCCAGGGACGGCACAGAGGTCTATGGCTTTTGCTTTGGGTCAGTTGAGGTTTCAGAAAGACTTGCCGAACACATTGGCGTGTAGGACTTTGTGATCGTTCTTTCGCACTGGCTCTGGTAGCTATGGCACGATCCGGCGCCTACATTCAAGTTGTTTTTGGGTTGGTTTGGAAGTGCATTTGGTATCACGGTAGCACTTGTGACATCATGAGCCTTAGCCGTGTGCGCCCAAACCCTAAGCGAGCCACCCAAAGGAAGTTGTGAATGAACCGTAAAGGGCATGGAAAGAGCCAGGCCGAGATCCAGGAAGCGATCCTGGAAGCAGCCACCGCCCCAAGCGCCCGAGGTGATGTTGAGGATGCAGGTTTTGGGGTTTAAGGTCAACAAACTCGGAGAGAGGTTTAGAGGATCGTAGAGGTTTTGCAGGATCTTATTGGGTTTATGCGGCTCGTAGGGCTTAGGGGCTTAATTAGCGGGCTACAGGGCTCAGGCTTCGGGGCGTAAAGTCGTAGAGGTTGAGGGTTTGAGGCTTCGGAGGAGTCTCTTTGGTGTGAAGTGTTCGGTGCTTCCAAGGCTCCAATAGAATTTCCTGCTGGTAATATAGGGGCCTTAATTACCTGTACTATTTTGGGAGTTCTTTGTTATAATCATAGTCAACGGGGCCCAAAACCCTGTTCGATTTCTTAAGGCCCCTACATTATTCTCACTGCCCTGTCCATACACAGTCAGTTTTGGGACAATCGCCAGCTTACAAGGCTGGTCTTGCAAGTTCTAGTTCGACTTTGGGATTTAGGCTCGAGGCAGTTGGATTTAGGTGGTGCATTCCGAGCCTTGGCTTGTGGGCGTCGGGGAAAGTGTTGAGGCTAAGCATTTGCAGGGTCGGAAATTGCCAGGTGTTGATGGTCACAAAAAAGGCTGTAGTGAGTTCAGCCCACAGAAGCCATTGCTATAGGGGACTAACACTACCAATACTATACTATTTTGGAGGCTCCTTATTATTATAGTATATGATACCACATGATTAAGGCCCCTGCATAACACCATGGGACCATAGGTGCAGACCCCTGGGCCCTAGACTTTGAGTTTGTCCATGAGCCTCTGGCTGTCGAGTCCTAAGAGCCCAGACACCTGGATTGGGTCGATGTCGTCTTTGAGAGCAGGGCTTCGAGAGCTAGCCTTACCCTAACCTTCCAGGTACCTAGTATATAGGGCCCTAGGGGCTCTAGTACCCTATATAGTAGGTACCTGGGGGTTAGGTTACTCCGAGACCTGACGGCAGATTGACGTGGGCCTGGAAGATGGCTTTGTCGTGGCAGAGACGGCGCTCGCCAAACGGCCCGGCCCAGAGTTGCTGCCACCTTGTTTGCTATTTTTGACCCCCCCCCCCCCCCCCCCGGGCGGCAACGACAAACACAGCACTGGTCCCTATCGCTTTTTTCGCAAATCGTGGTCTAGTTCGTGGCAATTTTAACGACCTGTCGCAATGCGTGTTTGGGGAAGGATGACATTTCTTAACAAAAACTGTTGTGAGGGGAATTCCTGGTCTGTACTGGAGCCCGGTACATATGTCGACAACGAGACGACTTCTATGGTATCTGTGGCATTGAATTGCATTGCAGGTTGGGCCATCTGTTGCGTTGTTGCAAAGGACTGCGCTGCTGCTACCACCACCACCACCACCACCACCACCACCACCACCACCACCACCGCGACTACTGCTGATGCTTCCACTTGCTGCGACGATCAGTACTCAGACTACGTGGTTTATTGCCCCGATCGTTATAGTGACTTCACTAGCTGCTTAAATTAGGGGTCCATCTCTGTGTAGGAATCCGAAGTTTTTTGAGAGCCAGGGTCGCTCGACTGTTTTTCAAGTAGCCTCTCTTAGGACGAGCAGATCCTCTCAAATATACTTGTCCGTGATGCTTTACGGTTGATGGAGCTGCAGCACAGGCGCGCCGAACGCCACGCGGTGATGGATGCCCTTGTGATGGTCTCAGTGCATCACGGGGTTCGAACAAGCCCAGAGCCCTGCAAGCTCTCAGAGGCTTGGTTTCCGAAAACTTCTCAGGGCCCAAGAGTGCCATTCTGAAACCAGAGAAGACTCGGCTAAATCTTCATCTTGTCGAGATTGCTGTGGTCGTTCTGGGGCTGAGCTGATGCTTCAATAGGGCTAGGAGTCCCTTCGACTGTGGCGCACACCGGTGAATCCTGAGCCCCGCACTCCGCATTGCTGAATAGCCGCATATTGAACCCGAGGGGGATGTTCAGTGTTGAGGATTCGTGAAGAGTTTTCTTACAGGGCTGCGTGCTGTGGTTCTGTTCATTGCCGAGGTGGCTGCCATGGAGGTGGGCCGTCGCTGTGTGCAGTTGCTGTCTCCGATAAGTTGGTGTACCTAATCGGGTGGTGCCCCGGATCCCCCCTAAACTGGCCAGAGCTCTCAGTTTGCAGAGAAGCTCGTGGGATGAGAGGAGAAGGTCCTAGCTCACACAGAGGTTGCACGCACCTTGAAAAGCTTGGACAGCCGTTTCCGACGCCATCCTAAGCATTTCGTACGAGGCACCTCACGGAAGCCCGGCGGGTGCAAGAGTAAGAACGTGTCATTTTGCTTGTTTTCGCGTCTGGGCGAGTTCGAGCTTTTAGTTTCCAATTCCAGGTCCCTAAGAGTCATGCATCCCAGGTGGTGGTCGTGAGCGCAGAGCAAGACGGTCTCAACGGGCCTGTGGCTCTGCTCTGGCTCCAAACCGCGAGAGTGCTTGCCAGCTGCTCTGTTGGGGACTCGCTCTGCCTTGGCTCCCAGAATTCGCTGCAGCGCGACTCAGTCAGCTAGGTGGTCAGCACAAAACCCTACAGAAAGGCACAGCCTCAACCCCCAAGTCGTGTTGCTTCGGTATTTGAACTAACTGAAGGGACAACTGTGGAACCCAAACAGTGGACGATCGGGTCTGTGTTCTTGTTCTTGTTATGGCCATGATCGCACTTCTCATAGCTCGTCAAGGCACATGTCACATGTGTCCCCTGAATTGTCCCAGCATGACAGCAGAAACCACGAAACCTTAGCACGACTCCGGCTCCTGTCAAGGGATCTTAACCCGTTGCCAAGGCCTGGTTGCTGTGCGTCGGGGGTCCCCAGCCGTGAGCTAGTCAGCTAGTCGAGCTGGATGCTCTTCCAGGTGGCTTCAGCTTCATGCCCTTTCTTTGAGTGGGGCAGGATGCAATCGTTCTAGCTACTTTCAACAGTGTCTGCATGTACCAAAGGTTTCGGACTCAAATGGATGAGTGCGCTTCTGGATCGGATAGGCACAGGGTGAAGTTTGGTGCTGTATTGGCTCTATGCCCTCTAGGGCTTAGATAATTCGGGGCTACGGATGTATGTTAGGTGTATGGAAATTCTAGAGCTCCCGAGACTTTGAGATCTACTTGGCTTGACGTTGTAGGGATCAGGACCGCGACTGTGTTTCTCCGGGCTTGGTTGCGGACACACGACCCGCATCTCTGACCCTAAGCCGCCCTAAAGTGTGGCAGAGTCAAGGTTATGCGCGCACTAGTAAAAATTTCAGCCGGACCCAACTCACTTACTTTCAGAATTCCCTAATGCACTTGTGGCACACTTGTAGCATAGGAAGCCCCCCAACCTAGGCCCGAGTCTATCTGTTTGTTTGTGCTTGAATATTGACCCTTTCCCCCTAAAATTCAAAGCCCTAGAGCCCCCCAACCCCCCCCCCCCCATTCAGAACAGGTTTCAAAGGATGATTTCGGGTGGATTCGCCCCAATGTGTTTCTGTTATACGGGGTGTGTTTAGTAAAAGGGGGGGGAAGGGAAAAGCCCTCCCGGAGTCATCGATTTCAACCCAGGCCAGAGCAGCTGGAGGCAATGGCTGGATGGTTGAGGAGCTTTTTTCGTGAAAAAAGGGTGTAGCTTCTCTGACGGGCCGATTTCATTTCAAATCCTTTAGGGTCCAGTTCTTTGGTGGTTTCTTTTATCTTAAAGTTTCCACAAGCTCGACAGCTGTACACTGTATAAGCCTTGACCCGAAGCTCTCAGACCCTCAATGCTATACCTGCGCCAAATTATGTAGAACCCCTGATGGCTTGTCTTGCACACCCCTTGCCCGAAAAAAGTTTTCAAACAACGCGAAGCAAATCCCCATCAATTGTCAGTGGGTCCTGGTTAAACTCTGATGCTGTAGCCGGTAATGTTCGCGTCCACTTGCATCTTAAAGCGCTATGCAAAGTTCGAAAATAAGCAGCCCAACACAGAGAGAACCCCCTGAAATGGGGCAACAAACCGAGCCTTTACTCAACCCCCACGACTATAGGACCCGTAGCCATTTTGGCTCAAGCTTTCTGGTTCCTTGTCGCTCAACGCCATCAACCTTCAAACGCATTGTAAATCTTGTATTCAAGCTTTTGCAAGAGCTCCATGGTCCCGACTCATCAGAAGATACGACCAGCTTGTAGAGCCTGCCATCTGAAGCAGCTGAAGTGCCGCACCATGCCTCCAGAGAAGCTTCATGTCAAGCTGATGCAAGGAAGGAGCTACAGTAGCAGCTGAAACCAATCACGTTTGGATAACTATGTTGAGCCTTAAGGAGCTTATCTATAGCTTATTCATTCTTTGTCTTTCAGACTTTCTGTTCAACTAACAGATGTGAGAGTTTGAGTTTTCACCTTTGCGAGCTGGTGTATGTGTTGTAGCGGTTTCCCAAACATGATTGGTTTTAGGAATTTAACATGCCGCGATTTGTATGCTTTATGAAGCCGAGTCGAGCAGCCAACGGTGCTGTCAGGAGAAGCCGACTGCCAGCGGAAAGATCGAGATAGGCGGCAAAAGGGCTTGCCCGCTCGGCGGATCGGGCAAGCGCTGCCTGTGCAGACTCGCGTGCGCACGGAGCGGTACAAGGGAGCTTCGACACTGGAATGGTGAGGTTGCAAACACTCGCTTGGTGGATGTGTGTGGGCACCGGTTGTGCATGTTCTGCCGCACATGGCACGGTGTGGAAGGGACCACGACGCAACAACGTGATGGTAGCACTGGGACCATTTTGAGTATGATATATTTTCGAATTCGTTTGCGAACATGGTTTTTGCTCATGGGCTCCCGCCGAAGGCCGCCGCTAATTAACACAAGCAGGACCAGCAACTCGTGGTGAGCCTTGAAGGCATCAAGTATACTGCAAGCTGCTGGAATGACGGGGGGTCAATGAGCTGCATGACCTTGGAGTTTGATGAAGGACCCCCAACACATGCTTCCGGAATGCTGGTTACAACGGGCACACCTGTCGGATGGTGCTCCAACCTTTCGGATGGTGCTCTAACTGACGTGCGGATTTTGCTTAATGAGAATTTCTTGCACAATGAACAGGTCCTCTCTGCATAGGGCCCTTTGTGCCTCAGCTTACGGCCGGAGATCAGAGAGCTGGGAGTTTATGTGTTGCAAGCTGTATGTATGAAATGTACTACATGCAGCACTGCAGTCGGGTATTGGTTGTACACTTGTACTGTCGTGTCAGGAACCCTGCCTAACAGCGACGGCCTGCTGGTGATACGAGCCATGCCAGTAGATAATGATTCGTTGGACCAAATCTTGCCAGGTTTGTCCGAGTGTGAGTGTCGAAAACCCGAGAACGGGTGGTACTCCCGAGTGGCAAACAGCCCTAGAATCCTTAAGCTCTGCAACACCCCGAACCCTTAGATCCTCTCAGCATGAACCCGGAAAGGAAGCCTGAACATAATCCCAAAAGGAACCCTGAAACGAACACGACCGCTTTAAAGCTTGGCTTCGAAAGGCGCTGGCAGACGCCTTGGTGGAGGCTCGAAGCAGTGGGACCCAGGAGGGCTTCGATGTGTTTGTGTTTGACATCCAGTGTTTGGCGGTCTGGGGTGTATAGGGGTTTAGAAGCTCAAGGCGAAGAGGGAGTTTTGGTTTGGGGCCAGCTCGGTGTGCGACGGGAGCTCCCAATACTGTATGTTCCCATAAAACGTTGAGCATGGGGGATAGAGCAGCTTTAGGTTCACAGGTTTAGGTTTCAGAGTTGCCGGCCGAGGTGTCGCCGTGCCTGGCGAGGAAGAGCTCCTCAACTGTGCTCCTTGGGCTCTTCAAGCATCGATGAAACTTGTTGAGTGCTTCAAAGCTTGCTTAGGGTTGATTTTGGGGTTCTATGTATGAGGGCTCTCGGCTTTAGGTGTTCGGAAAAGGATTCCTGGTGTGTTTCCGTAAAATGGTTTTGAGGTAGGGTGCAGGCACAGTTTAGCACTAACAAGTTAGCTTCACAACTCTTGTTTTGTTGGTCTACGAATCTAAATATCTTTGGGCACAGCTTTATCGCGGGAGGATGCAAGACCTTACATCGAGTTTAGACTTTGAGTGCGTGGTCAGGGCAGAAGGTGTGGAGTTTTTGAGTTTGCGATCATGGGCTCGGGATATCAAGGACGCGGCTTTAGGCTTTGCAGCAGCAGGGTTTCAGGCTGTAAGGGATAGCTTCGGAAGCGGAGATGTTAAAGACACGTTGCCTTTCAAAGCCTCGGAACCGAGTGCCTGCCACCAGCGCCACGGCAAAATACCCAAGCCTGCACGATGTTACTCGTAGCTGCATCTAGGCCGCCAGAATACCCCGAACGCTTGGAGTCCTAAACCTTTCCAGAGTTTTCGAGTTCTGTGTTCCAGGATTGTGGTACCTGAGTGCAACCTCAGAAAACCCAAGTCAGGCAAGTCGGCTGCTTGAGCGCGGCACCCAGGAGGAAGCCTGAAATGGAGCCACGGCGAATAATCGCAGAATTTGTGGATTTTTTTCAGGGCTTGGGCACCGCATGAACCATGTAGTGACGACAATGTAGTGCATATGCTGAGCATGGCATGTGAACCTATGGTTTATGGCGACATGGTTTGAACCCTGGAATCATGGCATCAAATGCAACAACGAATCTGCAAAGACAAGGGCACCAAGCAGAGATGATGATGCTGCTTGCCTTGTGAACTGTGATGCTCACAAAGTTCGATGGTGATGGTGATGCGCATGATGGACGACGCCATCATCATGATCATCATCATCATCATATCAAGCTAGGTGGGAGGAATCGTCATCATCACGATGATCATTATAATCTTCAACATACGTGGCGGAACTACATGCAGTTCGCATGCAAGTGTTCGTCCTAATGTCTTATGGCCGGACTGGGCTGCAACCTCAGAGGGGGTTCGCTCGTGGAGCCGGAATGGGAATGGAAATTGGGCTGCAACCTTAAGTCAGCCTTGATATGCCTTGCTCAGGTGTACAGCTGAACATCTGAATCACGATCCCTCAAGATTAATTCGTCACTGTCTGTAAACCAAGCAATCACGTGAACCTGACGTGCAGTAATCGGCAAGCACAGGTTCGAGCTGAAGCGTTCGGAGGCGCGGGATGGGATGGGACCAGGTTCGATGCTTCAATGTTGAGTTGGGGTTGGTGGGTCTACTACTCATACTAGTGCCACTACCAGTATCACTGCTATTTCTATATGACCACCACCACAACCACCACTACCACCACCGCCATTACCATTACGACGACCACTGGTATCGCCACTACTTCTGCTGCTGCTGCCTCTGCTGCTGCTGCTGCTGCTGCTACTACTTCGACTACTTCTACCACCACCACCACCACCAATGCCACGGCAATGTGTGCTGCTACTACGACCAGCATTCATCACCCGAAGGTTGGTGACAGCAAGACCAGTGCTGATATTCCTGCATACGGTATTTTGAACTGGTGCTAGTCCTGCTCCTGATAACTCTGCTCTGCAGGCTTTCTCTTGCAGCGTCACGGCATTCAATGCAGCAGAGTTTGGTGGTCGCTAGCGCTTTCTGAAACTGTTTTGGAGTGACCGGGCTGCTCAGGCACTTCGGCAAATGGGACCATGCATCAAGAATGGGTCACCGCCATGTGATATGCCTACACCACAGCAGTAGCATTGCCCGGTAGCGGCCAAGAGGACAACTGTCGTCACCTCCTAAAAGTGCAACAATCAGAAAGTACCACTCAGAGTTCGTAAGTGTAACATAAGTACGGGCAGCTACGGTGTTTTCTCATGGCATTCGTTGCGTCAGACCGCGACCGTACGTGAAGTAGGCTCAAACAGCGAGGCCGCAGCTGCCATGAAGGGCTGTTAGAAGTTAGGATTCCTCTTAGGGGGTTTCCGGACTACTACAAAGTGACTCAAAAGCACCTTCCATTGCACAAAGCAAGGGAAAAACAGCAAGAAAGAACAAGACTTCGCTAAAATATCCTGCCCGACATGAAGCTTTCCAAAAGGACGACTGGGCTGGTTCTAAACAAGGCCTCTCCAAGCGAAAACGCGAAGCTCACAAGTCTTTTCTTGAACTGTGAGCACTACCGGCCTACCGTGCCCCCCGCACCCTGCAATACCACAATCATTGGACGAGTTTCCCAAGATTCCGCCAAGATTGAACCCTTTTCAGGACTCGAGGTTTGAAAAGGGCCCTAGTTTAGGGCTCAGGGTTAAGATGGGCTTAGGGGAGCCATGATTCGTCGGCATTCTGCCGGCGAGACCGGCCTGGACGCATCGATGCTTCGCTAGAAAGGCAGCTTCCCTGAGCGGAGGCTTTTGGTTCTAGTGCCCGGTGCTTGTGCTTGGTTGATGGTGTACTAGGGCTTTGACGATTTCGGGCATGGGATTCAGGGCCTCATGTTTACGGCTTAGGCGGGAGGTGGGCATGTTGTCAGGAAAGGTAACACGCTGTGACTGATGCCTGACCCAAAAGCTCGATCTTCATGCAAGCTCTGCCAGGCTCGTGATCACACCGAAGTAGGTCGTAAGCATGACTTCGAAAACGCTGTTCCGGTCATTTTCCTGAACATTCCTGAACCACTCTGCAAGAAGCTCCGTGGATGTCAGTTTCAACGAGACCCACAAGCCTACTATCAAGTGGTTACATCCGAGCGCTACAGCCTATGTTGGTGTTGTGGCTCAAAAGCTTTGTGCGGAGTTAGACCGACATATGGATACAGTTGTACATACTGCATGCAAGTCAAAAGACACAAGACATGCTGCAACGCGTGCCTTAGCTAATTTTCCACGGTGGGAGAGCATCTGACCCATCTAGCCATCGAGTCATCCATTGACTTCGTTTGCGTACTTTGCCAAACTGAGCGTAAAGTCCTGGCGTTTGCAAGGTTCGGAGATTGCTCTGCCTCTGCAAGTGCTGCAGGCATCGCCGGCAATGGCCGACCAGCGCGGCTGCGTGTTGCCTTGCCACAAAAAGAGATGCTTCCATGACCGTCAAGGTAAGAGAAAGCTCAGAGCCTCCAATCCCTCACCTAGGATCTTTTTGCAAGGAAAGTCAAAAGAATTCAAGCTTGTTGTAAGGGCAGCAGTCGAGTCCCTTGCGAAGAAATATTACTTGATCGTGGGAGCCTGCGTAAGCTGCTAGCATACCCGAGCGCTTCAGGGGCTTGTTCCATGGAACCTATACCTGCTTGCTACAATGAACTTTGTTTCGTTCTAAGTCTGCCCTGGGCTGGACCAAGTAGTGGGTCCAGAGTCTCCGGATCCGAGTTGTCGCTGGGTTGGTCCAAGTCTCTCGTTGGCCTGGCGTTTATCTTGGAACTGCGAAGAGTGACTCTTCCCGCGGTTCTTGAGCATGCTTGGTGTCAGGGGCAGGAATGCAACACTGTTTGCTTCTGCGCGGGGTCGTGGAAGAGCACGAGGAGCAGTAGGAAATTCCCCATCTGCCACACTTTCCTTCAAGCTTTCAACCAAGAAATCCTAAACCCTAAACCCTAAACCTCCAATTCCTTGGTCCGAAGCCCAGGTTCCCCTACAAGAAGAAGGGTGAGGTGCACCGCTGGCACGTGCGCTTTCCCGGCCAGGGGGTGAAGGCTCCTGGTGTATCCTTTTGGGGCATGGGAGATTTAACGTTGAGCCTTTGGGGTACGGGCCAGGTATGGGAGATTTAACGTTGAGACCACTCGTGTTTTGGGGCATAGGGTTTCTTGTGGGGCACATCTTTACAGTTTGTCTTTGAGACTTTGGGCGCATCCACAAGGCCTGCACCTCCAAGCCACGAAGCCTGAAGCTCGGAAAGTTGCTAAGAGCATGGATTCTTACCAGCCTGCCCGAAAGGACTATGTCGCTTCCGTGGTGAAGGAGGAGCATGCTCTGGCAGAGGAGCTCTTGACACACCTCAGGCGCTCCAACAAGCCGGAATCGGCTTTGTAGAGGATTTGCATCTTCGGGTTTGAGAAAGGGCCGGGCTCAACTGTAAAGAGAGATGTTAACAGAACACCCAAATCTGCGCACGGTCATGTTGTAGAAGTTTAGGGTTGAAGAGGAATGTCTATTGGACTTCTAAACTCTGAGACCCTGCGCAAATCCCTTCGAGGACGGTTCAGTTTGTACTTACGGACTGCCAAGCATCTCAGGGCTTCTGCAACCTGAAGTCCTGATGATCACCTACGGACCTACGGCTCAGCCTCAGATTCTTCAGTCGTGAAGTCTACAGGTGCCAGACCGGCGAGCAAAGCAACGCTGATCTCCGCAAGGTGTGCCAGGCGCTCCATATTGGGAACAAGCCTACGCCCCGAACACACAACTTATGCCTTTCTGAGTTAGGAGCATCCTATATATTCAGGACGCTGGTTTTGTGTGACTTTGCTTCCCTCTTACCCTTCAGATTGCTGTTCTACTTTGCACCGGCGTATGTTTCTCATTCAGTCAAGGAAGAAGGAAACTCATTGACAGGATGCTTATGCCGGTGATCGTGCTGCTGCTGCTCCTGCTGCTGTTGTCGCAGTTAGGTCGTGGAGCTTAGGGAGCCATGGCTTTGGGGTATGAAGACATATCGTTGAAGCTGAAGAGGCCATCTGGGCTCTGCCCCCAAGTAAGGGAGTATCGGATTTGGGGCTTGCGGGCGTGTTAGGCCACTGGGCCAAAGCTGGCTTCTATTATAGGCTTCGGTATAAAGGCCAACTTGCTTCAGGCTGAAACTCTTATTCAGCATGTCGAAGCTTCCCCTAACCCCCCAGGTACGCACTATATAGGGTACTGGAGCCCCTAGGGCCCTATATAGCAGGTACTTGGGAGGTTAGGATTCAGCAGGATCAGCTGGCGGTTCTTCGGCGCGCGAGCGCAGCGCAGCCCGCTGCACGGCACGCGCATTTGAAGGGTTTGGGCAATGGTAATAACACACACACACAGAGATCCCAAGAACATATCCTTTTGGACAGATCGTTATGGATTGCCATTGTTGCAGCCTTTGACAAATTGGCATGCGCCCTACATCATACGTGCGACGAAAGCATCAAGCCTGTGGTTAAAACTTAACCACGCTGCACCCAAAGAGCGTCACTTAATGCTCCAAAACCTTCCCGGGAAAGCCTCAAGACGGGAACAAAATGCAATCTCACCATCCATTGGCATTTAACTACAGCACAAATCCATGCAGGGGATACGGTCAACGCTGTATAGTTAATTACACTTTAGGGTTCGTATCGAGACATCGGAGCCAAAAAAACCCTAATACCCATCGAAGCCACTGATACAGGAGCTTGAAAGCTACAAAAAATAGTGCATCATTCCTGCGGTATGAGTCCATATAAGTGTCCTAGAATGTACAGCAGACCCTCTTCGAATTGTAAAGGCCCCAAAGCTAGTGTAGGGGCCTTGACAATTAGGATAGGGTTTTGGGGCCCATTAGACTACAACCATAACAAGGAACCCCCAAAATAGTATTGGTAATTATTACGGCCCCCAAGACTATGTCTACAAGATCTTTCAAGAGGAGCCCGAGATTTGAGGCTGCCAGCTCATGCAGACCAGAAGAAGCTGAGGAGGTCGGGTCTCTTGAGGATTGTGAGGCTAAACAAAAGGGTGTGGCGAATCAGGGTTTAGGGTCTAGGATTGTAGGATGCAGGATTTTTAGAGAATCTGTTTGTGTGGGGTTCGGGATTTTACAGCTGGGGGTTTGCGGATTTAGGGTCTAGGGGTTCTGGGGTTTAGGGTTTGGGTTTGCGGGCTCCTTTCTTCGAAGGCTCGGGTACGTCTTTGAGCGTAAGACCTTTAAGGATTAGGGCCCGTACACCTTCAGCATGAAATCGCAAGCTCCTAATCGCTTCCGTCTTTGGGCTGGCCTGCCTTGCAGGCAGCGCCACAGCCACGGGCACATCCCAAAACACAATATCATCAGACAGCTCCCTTTATAGGTTCTCTATCCGGAAATCTTTTTCCGGCCTGTGTGTTCTGCTGGAGGTGGCTGAGCCAGTTCAGACCCCGACGGCAGCAGCACCAGCAGCAGCAGGGAGAGGAGGAGGCAGCCGGAGAGTATCTGAAGCAGTCTTGAAGATAAGTCATTGAGACTTTAGGATCGCCAAGGGTAAGAAAGTCAACGCGGCGGCGAAAGGATCTTGGGTGTACTCATCGCCTTGGAGGCCTCAGAGATCTTGAAGTTAATCGTTTTCAAGAACAGCCCTGGCTGCAGATCATCTCTCTACAAAGTCGGCTTTTGCTTGGAGAAGCTTTTGTGCGGCAAGGTGACTGAGTAAGTTTGGTGTGTCGCACAGTACATCCTCTCACAAAAGCTGGCGTCGTCTTGCAAATCTCATTCACCAGGTGCAATGGCTCCCTGTAGCGGACCGAACATCTAGGCAGAGGCAGGTTTGAGGTGCACATGCAACCACCCGGTCCCTGCTATCAAGCGAAGACAGTCATGTGATCGTTGGGCTTCTGTGCAGGCGAAGCTGATCCAGCTGTGCTGCCGCCTGCGCTCCTCTGACTAGAAGCCCAGTTCCCTACCTTTCATACACGTAGTAGTAGGTTGGCACAGAACTGTGATTTACGATCCTATGAAAAAGGCTTATCGGGTATGGGGGACCAGCCTGGTTGTTTCCTATGCATTCGTGTTACGATGGCATGCCCGGGTTTTCCGCATGCATGTGGTCATTCACAACAAGCAATATATGTGTTATGCCTTCTGCGCGGGTCCAGATAAGTGTCCGTTTCGGGGATTCAGTAGTTACCGAATCTTGTGACTTGGCAGTTCAGACTGTGCTAACGTTGCCAAGATAATAATTCCATCCGTATTGTGGTTGATAACGACGATAACATTGACTATGATAGTGGAGTTTTATGTTGCAAGCCGAGAACTTCACCATGCAAAGCTTTAGCCCGAGTTGCTTCATGTTGTATTTACAGACCTTCACAATGATTTGATGGAGCCCACACGGCCCCGGAAAAATCTGCTAGGACCTTACCTGCAGATGAGGGCGCACCGCCCCAGATCCTGGGCTGTTACATTCGGGTCTTCTCCGGGCTCATGAGGATCTTGAGGATCAGAAGTTGCGGGATTCGGGTTCTATGGCTTTTGGCGCAGGGCCCACGCGTGAATATGGAGAGGCGGTAAGGGAAACCGTGGGTGGCATGCGGAACATAGGGGGCCCATCCCCGAACGATGATGACACATCCTGGTCAGGAAGGGTGAACGAACGAACTTGTCTGCCAAAAGAGAGTGTGCACGCCATAAAAAATGCTGCGTCGCCAACCTCGGGCTTCAGCTTTTTCCAGAACTCAGAACCCAGCAACATGAGCCAATGCTGCAGGATTTCGATTGAATGCGAAATCTGCTGGGAGCCCTTCAACGAGTGCAGCCGAGCGCCGTTCCTGTCCAAGTGTGGCCACACCTTCTGCCAAAGCTGCGCGCCCAGGCTGCAGCCCATCCTAAGCGCACAGTCTCAGTAGAATTGAGTAGAACCTGTACCGTGGAAGCCCGCGGGTTTTAGTGTTTGCACGAACTAGCCGGGAAATGCATTGGCGTGTCACCTGCAGCCACCATGCTGGATTTTATGGCAGTCGTTCGGGAGCCCTTTAAAGAGGTTGACACCTTGCGACAACAACTCAATACCCACAAAGAAGCGTGAGCCTCAATCTCCGCAGCCCTGCTTAGCCATCCTCTAGAAAACTGAGATGGACCATGGAATTCGCCGGGCCCCAGCGCATCAAAGCGTCGTCCAAGGCCACAGCAGCCCGAAACGTCTGACCTAAGCCTTGAGCCATTGGCAATGAATGAACCTTGACAACTTGAGCCGTAGATCACAAAACAGAAACCTAAGCAGCCCTAGAGATAGCCCAAGCCTTAAGCGACATCCCAGATGAAGAAGATCCTCGGGTCAAGTCAGTCCTATGACTGCCCCAAGTGTCGAAAAACCTTCACGGCGGATCAGTGCATGAAGAATGTTTGCCGGCACCTTACGGGGTTGGCAGGACCAAGCATGCTATTGCTCTTATGCCTTGAAGTGGTATTGGGGAAGTGGCATGCTCTTTTTTTGTCATGCCTATTGTTGTCAAGTGTTCATACCTTGTGTTGAAAGAAATGGCACCGGTGTGAAATTCGTGTTTTTAGACAACGTTTTCCATGTAGTGTTTCTGACTGACGTTGTCATTGGCGCTATCATGTGGTCATGCTCTGCTCATCTTACAGATGCTGTACCTTTCACGTGAAGGCTAGTCTCTGGAGTTCGTGGGGTGCAGGGCCTTAGGCTGGATGCGAGCCTTAGAATTCGTAGAATAGTTAAGCCAACCTCAAGCAACAGTTTGTGTCTGCGTCGGAGCACGCGGGCACATTTCGGCAGGTCATGGAGGGGCATGTGCACACTTCACAAGCTCTTTGCACGTGTGTGTGTGTGCTAAGTGTCAGAACTAAGGGATCATCCAGAATCTTGATGCCTTGGTCCAGCGAAGAGCGAGGAGCAGACCGAACTCAGAGGAGGAAGCTGCATCTGCAGTGCCCGCTCAGGCCCAGGCCTTAGGGGAGGTCTTGGGGACCTCCGAGCCCCGTCGTGCGAAAAGGCGCATCGGATCGCTAGCAGAAGGCTTGTTTCTTTTTTCAGGTTTTTCTTTTTGCGCCACTGCTTTTCTATACAAGCAACAGCTTTCTGTTACATGTTGCATCGATGTAACATTCCATCAAATTGTTATAGCGAGTTCCTTCATGTGCTTGTCCCAATAAAAAATATTTGCCGTGTAGCTCCGAGGAGAAGAGTCAACGAGCCGGGCTTCGCGGATCCCTCGTCGGAAAGAGAAGCCCCGGCAAGACCCAGGCCTCCGGTGCCAGCTGGAACGCCGCGAGCTCCACAGCCGGGTCCGGTGAACCGTCCCAGACCTGCAGATCCTGGGCGTGCGGCACCACGCGCCGGCCAAGGAGGTGGGGGTTTCCGAAAATAGGGGACCCTAATATAGTACCCTAAATAGTAGGATCCTTATTATAATGACTTTAAAATAGGGTACCCTAGTTTTCGGAAACTCCCAGGTGCTCAAGCTTCGGAGGCAGGACGCATGAGGCTCTCGAGGCCGGCTTTGAGCCATGGGAGCTTGCGGCGTCTTGCTCCTCGAACTTCTCTGCCCGAAAGCAAGATCGCCGTGGCAGTGCCGGCAGCTCGGCAGCGGACAGCCGGTGTAGATGTACGGTTAAACCGGATGTTTCCCGCCAGACTTCGCGAAGTATCATGCTAAGCAACATTTGATGTATTCAGCACCGTCGGCCTTTTTGTTCTTTTCTTGAGCCTCATCATACACCCCAAGTCCTAAAGTCATATGGTCCAATTGGACCTAGACCGAACGAACAAAGCAGCCTGCAACTTAGGGGAGCTTGATGGGTCGAGTCATCGGTCCCGGTGGTTCCGTGATCCAGGCGCCACTTTGCAGCCCTGCCGGTGGGTTCGTTCCTGAATCATAAACCTTGGATTGTAAGGCTTTCGGTAGGAGATCCCGTTCTTTACAAACCGGAGCTTGCAGTGATAACGAACAGCACAGGGGTAACCAGGTAACCAACTGTCAGTGTTAGTTCATATTCCAGAACTCATGGATGTCTAGTCTAGGAGCGGGATGAGGCTGTTCTTTGCGAGTCTCTTGTGGCTGCACAAGAACAGGGCCCCATGGGCCTATGTATAGCATCCATGACGTACAGTTTGCGCCCAAACCTCTGAAGCTGCCGAAACTCTCAACCCTCGCCTGCTTGTCGAGTGCGAGTGCTAAAAATATCATCCATGACATGATCTATGTGGGGGTTTCCGAAAATTAGGGGTACCTTATTTTGGGGTCCTTATAATCAGGATCCTATTATTTAGGGTACTATATTAGGGTCCCCTATTCTCTGAAACTCCTATGTATAGCATCCATGACATGATGACGCAAGTTGTCGACGGGAGCAGAAGCGAGACGCAGCAGAGAGAGAGCCAGGGGAAAGCCGTGAAAGCAGATCCCCCGAATCCCCCGAGGAACAGAGCCCGCTATAAGTGCTGTATCTAGGCATACGATTTCACCGGATTCGGCATCATCCCGAACAAGGGCAGACAGAGTAAGATATGCCACCAGATTATCGTGCACCAAACGGGCGAAAGCGAAGCGCAACAACTAATGCTCAAAGCTCAACAACATGGGTGGGCCTCCGCTCGGGAAGCCTTGGACACTTCCCGTGTCCAGGAGGGAGAGAGCGAGGGAGGGAGGGAGGATTGAGGGAGACCGCCATCGCCGGCCACCCGATGACATGCTCGCTTGACTTAACTTTCCGTTATGTCGGCAGGAGGTACAGTTGTGTAGCATCATGAGTCTATTCATTCATACATGCGTACATATGTGTAGCAGCTCGACTTGGGAAGGCGGTTGTGCCTGCATTTTGACTGTATTAGTCTATTTGCCCGAGCCGGCAGTAGAGACTCCCTTGGTCTTCTACAGCCGTGGCTTGCAGCCGGATGACAACTGAGCCCGCGCGCTTGTTCGGCCATATGTGCCACGAGTTGCATCGATTTCACGAACCCGGGCCTCTGCAAACAACCTAAAGCTCTTCAGCTTCATTGTTGGGGGCGTAGGCCTTACTAGTGGGTGCCAGGCTGCACAGCGAACCTTCGGCGTGAAGGCGCGATCGGCACATTCGGATTTGTGGTTTAGGCTTCTAAATCGAAGCCGCAGTCAAGTTGGGACTTCCCCGCCGGCCCCCGATACCAAAGACGTTGCAGAAGCCATGACGGTGCCGTATTCCAGCTTCGTGCCGAAATGCGAGTTCAAATGCTCGTTTCCTTAGCGATATTCTCATCGCTTAACCGCCGTAGTGAGCCCTGGCTTGGCCGGAGACCCAAACCCTAAAACACGCAGCGAATCCTTGCCAGCCACGTGCGAGAGTGAGAGGCGAAAACATGCAGCGCACGTATGAGGTGGGGCTAAGCAACGTTTCATCTAGACTCTAGATCTCGCGGGATTTCAGCCATTTTTGCCAGAAGCGCTGAGCAACCAACACAAGGTTAGCTGCGAAGGCGACAAGGTGCACATTTCGGGTCAGATGTCTGGACCCCAGCACACCCAGTTTGTTGTATGCAGACTTTATGTTCAGGGTTTCAGTGCATCCGGGAAAAGGTTTAGGGCTTGGCCACGCTTGGGGCTTGCTGTGTTTGATCGTGGGTCTAACCCGGAACGAACTGTCTGCGACATTTGTCCTAGGAACGTTTCGACCGTGAGTCGAAGGCTGAAACTGAAACCTAGAAATGTCGCTGGGTCTCTCACGCGAAAGTCCGATCTCAGAAGCGGCCCTTGGAGTACTTCTAGTTGGGTTAAGCCTTTCCCCTAGTATTAGACAGGGGGGCACCACACCCCCAATAAAAAGTCGAAACGGGGAGTGGTTTTATCTCTACTCCTACATTGGGGAGGATCGTGCTCCTGCTCCTGCTCTGTGGCTCTTGCTGTTGCTTTTGCTCATGCCCCTTCCGCAGCTCTTGCTCCTGCTGCTCCTGCTCCTGCTGCGGCTCTTGCTCGTGCTCCTTTTCTTACAGTTGCTCCTGCGATTTATCTGCTGCCACCCCCCCTAAATCAAAACAGGTCTCATTCAGGCGGGAATAATCTCAGGTGGATTTCCCGGAAAGTTTATTCTGCGGAAGGTGGCTAACAAATGGGGAAGTGATTAACGCATATGTGTTTGGTTGCGGACCCTTGGTGACCTTGGTGGTTGCGTGGGATGGGACTGTTTTTCAAAGGTGGTAATTATCTGGAAGTTCCACAACATGACCTCAGAAAATCCTCTGCAGATCTTCAGGTTACGGTTTAGCGATGGGGTGGATAACTTGATTCTCCAGTCAATGTTTCTTATGGCGTGGGGCTTTGTTTGTCCATGAGAATCATCTGCCTGGGGCTGAGTTGGCCTCGCATGCAGTTGGGGGTATCCCAAAGCCACGTCCACAGCTCACAGCCTGAAGCCTCGACAGGGCATCCGTCGAGTCTTGCGCCCAAGCCCTCCACGCTTACGTGAAGAGGCCTGGCCGTCACCACGGAGTTGGGAGTGGAAAGTTTAAGGGTGCTCACAAAGTCTGGGAACTTCGGATTGACAAGATTTGGGTTTGCCTTTCGAGCAGCCTGTGGGGTGACGACCCTGCGCCTCCGATTTGTTCAGCAATGTAGGGGCCTTAATAATTAGAAGAGGGTTTTGGGGGTTCCTGTTTATGATTATAGTACAATATACCGTAATATACCCCCAAACCCTATTCTAATTTTTCGGCCCCTATTTTTGTCGTGCCACAGTCTGGCTCGAGCCATGCTGCACGTCTCGCACAGATACACCCTACACCGATTGGCATTGCCTCCAGTGCGAGATTTGTTCTGTGTAAGTTTTGGTTAGCAGGGACCCTATGACTGAAAACGGCCCCACATGGCAGGATGTATTGTTCTTGTAGCGATGGGCAGGTTTTGATGGGCAGGTTCTTATTTCAAAAACTGGATTCTTCAGTTCTCCCACCAACAGCCGCAAATCCTACCCTTTACCTAGATACTCCGAGGCGTACTTCATGAAAGGAGTGAGAGGGGAAGAGAGCTAGCAGAGAAAGATAAGGAGAGAGATGACACGGCGAGGAATGTCTGTGCGAAGCACTCATCAGACAAACACCAGAGTCGCACTCCTGGCTCGAGTTCAAGGGGAATCGGGAACCCGTCTGAAAGAGCGAGGTGGTCCCCCATGTGCACATGATTCCACGCTCTGCAGGAACTCCGAAACGACGGACGAGATCCCGGTGCCAAAGGTAGTGGCAGGCCCTTTGGCTGAGATTGGGAGTTTTCATTCCGGTTTCGGATCTTTCCAGGCGTCAGAGCCGGTGAGAGGTTGGTGTTTTCGGTGGGTCATGCATTTCAGGTTGAAGCCTGTGAAGACTTCTCTGTGACATCGGTCAGACTTTCGTGGCTCCACGGAGCTAAGACCGAAAAGGCTTGGAGGAGCTTCCATTGTCCACGGCTGGCTGCCGAAACTAAACCGCCAGATGTACGTGAAGCTTTGGATTGTTCTTCGCGAGTTTCGCAAACGAGACAACTGCATTCAACGCTCTTTCCGTGGGTGCTTCTCACAGGAGCCCTCAGCCTCAAATGTCCGACTTGCAGAATTTCTCATGATCGTCAGGTCCGAGGTGCCGGGCAGATTAGAGTACGGCACCTACCCTTAGGTCTGTATACGACCGTGTATATACAACGCTGCACCCTGCATTCCTCGTTTGGAGGTAGTAAGACATTGCGAAGACTATCATGACAATGGTCGTGATCTTGCGGTTTCCTGTCGTAGAAGCGCTAGCGGGCACCAGAATCTTGGAAGCTGCTCGCAAGTCTTTCCGTCAGTGCCATTCCTGCCAAAAAACCGATGTCGTTAAATCCAGAACTCTGGCAACCCTAATGCCCAGGACCCAGTAGCCCATGTCGTAAGCCCAATCACAGCATCTCTCAATGTTTAACGGCTGTAACGATGAAACATATCAAACTCGCGCTGAGGAGTGTTCTGGCCCGCGGACCTGCGTGCCGTCGAGCGACAGGCATGCACTGAGGTGCCAACAGAACAGGAAGTCTTCCTCGAGAAGCGGAAGCTTGGCTGTCTGAATGTAAGGGGTGATGTTGAATTTAGGGTTTGGTGCTGCATGGGGTTTAGATTGTAGGGTTGTCGGAAGTGTTAGAGGCTCGAACTTCCTTCGACTGAAGCACAGCAGTTCTGGGAGGAGGCTCATTCAACTTGAGGGCTCGTTCCACGCTTTCCTTGTATGTGGCAACATCCTTCGTCTTGTCGCGGAAAGTTCCGGAGATCTGGGCGGACCATAGGCCGATCTGACTACACAGAAAACACGGTGTACATCGAACTCCTATCGCGAGGACCTGTGTCGAAATCTCCACGATATGAAAAGTTACCGGTAGTTTTTGGTGCCTGAAGCAAAGCCCGATAAACCCTGACACGGCTGCAAGCCTTGGCACGAAGCGGTAAAGGCCAGGGCCCGAGACGCGTAGTCCAGCGTAGTCCACGGGCTCAGATGCGTAGTCGCATAACTCCCAAGCCCCCTGCAATCTTGCAGGCCGGTGGCGGAATGGCCCAAAGCCCCAAAACCTGAAGCCGCAACCTCCAGGGGAGCCACTAAACACAGTTCCACAACTCCTAAGAGGGTTTCTAGGCTGTCTTCGAGGGCAAGAGCACACTTCCCTAAAGTCTCAGCAGACCTTGCGCCGGACTATAAACAAGTGTGAGCGCCGAAATGTGCCGAATCTCTCTATAGCCTTGTGAATTATTAAACAAGGAACCCCGAAGCTTGAATCCGGATCATATCGAGGCAAACATTGCGTGTGGACCTCGAGAAGGCCCGCATCGAAGCTCGTTCAATGGCGAAGCATCCTGCACTTCATGTATGGGTAGTTCTCTAAATTAGGGTCCCTTCTAGGCTCCTTTTTATAAGGGTGCCGCACTATATTGGGGACCTAAAAATGGACCCTAATTTAGAGAACTACCCATATAGCAGAAGCCAGCAAGTTGGAACCATCATTCTCCTCATGCCATTAAGGTGCGGCATTGGGGATTCCAGCACAAATCATCCTAAATCCATGTTCCAGCTTCCTTGGATTCACTATAGTGGCCTGAGCAATTAGAACCAGATGTTCGGCCGTTGTGGGTTATGTGGTAGCACAAGTATACAGGAACCATAATGGGATTTTAATACCCATTGCTGAAACCCCTCTGCTTCGCGGCTGCATTTCGGGTGGCAGGTGTAAACCCTTGACGCATGGAGTAAAGTCGAGGATTCCAAAGACATTGAATTTAATATAGGGGCCCCAGTAATGAGAACAGGCCCATTATCCCATTATTATAAGAGAGAACCCCCAAAACCCTATTCTAATTATTAAGGCCCCTACATTAGAGGCGCTTGCAGGTTGTGCCCCGGGAGCTTTAGGAACTTTCGGAGTCGCTGCTGGGATTTTACTCCAGTCTTTCTGGCAGTCCATCATTGACACCACCATCATAATCTGAAAAGCCAGTTGGGTGACAAAAAAGCCAGACATTTCCAAGAGTTCCTACTGAACCCCAAACTTGTTTTATAATGAGCTGTACTCCTAGAGTTTTCGGCGTAAAGCCCACTCTGTTATTGAGTAGTACCCGGAACACCCGGAGCCCAAGACCCCAAATGCAATGCGAGCGTCGAAATCTCGCTATAAAGCCTTCCCGAACTCTCAGAAAACCTTTCAGCGAGAAGAAGTAGCAGCACAAAGCTTTGCAACACGCCTGTAAAAAAGTCTTATGAATTATGAAGGCCCTTTGGATGGCAGGACTCAGATGTCGCGCGGTTCCGGCTCATTGGCACTGGTGCAGCCGTCCAAGTCGGCGTGGCGAAGCTGAAGGACAGGGCTTGAAGCTCAGGGTTTAAGGCTTAACTCTGGGTTCAGGGTTTAGGGTTAAGGCTCAGGGTGCAGGGTTGGGGATTGAGGGCTGAGGTTTTAGGGCTTATAGTGTAGGCTAGGGTTTTTACTGCAGGGCGAAGCACAGGGAATGAGGTGTGAAGGCGTTTGGGGGAGTGTTCGAGAGAGTACACAGGCTTTGCAATTTCTGGGCATTGTGGGCTGAGGGTGGGGTTCAAGGTCATGGCGATTGGGGCATGGTTACCAGGCTACGGGGTTTGTAGTTGTAGAGCATAGTTCGGAGCTTGGTACCAATCATCTTATTTGTTTCTAATGCTGGTGTATGCCACTCCTTTTTATACTCTTTTCGGCCGTATGCAGCCTCTTCGGATATTACCAGGAAGCAACAGCTCACACTCGAGGCCGTTCGACAATTTTGGCTCCTTTATTGCCTCGCACAGCGTGCTACTACAAATTCCGCATGCTGCCTCAGCTGTACGCAGAAAGTTGAGGTTGAATACAAAAAACTTCCAGATGAAGGCATCGTTTACTTAAACCACAACCTCAGAGCAAAGAGAAAAGAGAGCCGCATCCTTGCCTCGTTTGACATACATGCGTGATACCTCAACTTGTTCTTGGACTGCGAGGTGATGCATAATGCTTAGTTGAATGCACGTCGAAGCAGAACGCACTGGGCCCTGGGAGGTGGCGAAGTACGGCTTTAAGGTTTCACAGTTTCGGCCTGTAGCTGAGGGAGGGACGTTCTGGGAGAGTTTCGGAGAATATAGGTGGTAATTCAATGTTGCTTGGTTGATTGATTAAACTTTTTCGAGTTGGCAGGCATCAGTTGCAAGCCGCGAGTGCTGGTTTCTGTTGCGTGCGGCGTCGCGGAAAGAGTGTCTTCTTTCGTCAATGTTATGTAGCCATGCTGAGCCGGCAACAACTATGAAGGCCAGGATGCAAAAAGGGCTCTAGATCTACAGTGGCTTCTGACTGCTAATTAGGGTTTATGGGTCTAGGACTCGGGTTGTGATGTGCGGAGCTTGGAGTTTACCAGCCCCAGAACAGCGAATGCAGGAGCGCGTGGATGCCATCAAGGTGCAGGAGATGGAGGTTCCTGTGAACGAGCAGGACCGGTCACAGAGCGCAAGCCCTGCACCGGTGGTGGGATGGTGGTGGTGGTGGTGGTGGTGGTGGTGGTGGTTGTGGTAGTGGTGGTGGTGGTGGTGGTAAATTTGTTGCACATGTTTTTTGGGTGATGATGATGATGATGATGGTGACGCTGTTGTTAGTGGTGGTGGTGTTGTTGCTGCTGGAGCTGTTGCTAGTGCTGCTGCTGCCGCTGATGGTGGTGTCGTCTCGTTGTCGCTATCTCTGTCGCTGTGGTGGTTGTGGTTGTGGTTGTGGTGGTTGTCGTTGTTATCGTTGTGGTTGTGATTGTGGGTGTGATTTTGGTTGTGTTGTTAGTTCTGGTGGTTGTTCTTGCTGTGGTCGTCGTCGTCGTCATGGTGGTGGTGGTTGGTGTTGGTGTTGGTGTTGGTGTTGGTGTTGGTGTTGGTGTTGGTGTTGGGGTTGGGGTTGGGGTTGGGGTTGGGGTTGGGGTTGGGGTTGGGGTTGGGGTTGGGGTTGGGGTTGGGG